AGTAGAAAGAAAGTCTTGTATAAAAACTCATTTACATCCTTGACTAATACAACATGAAGAAAGACATCGATGACAGTTGAATAAAGTAGAAAGAAAGTCTTGTATAAAAACTCATTTACATCCTTGACTAATACAACATGAAGAAAGACATCGATGACAGTTGAATAAAGTAGAAAGAAAGTCTTGTATAAAAACTCATTTACATCCTTGACTAATACAACATGAAGAAAGACATCGATGACAGTTGAATAAAGTAGAAAGAAAGTCTTGTATAAAAACTCATTTACATCCTTGACTAATACAACATAAAGAAAGACATCGATGACAGTTGAATAAAGTAGAAAGAAAGTCTTGTATAAAAACTCATTTAAATCCTTGACTAATACAACATAAAGAAAGACATCGATGACAGTTGAATAAAGTAGAAAGAAAGTCTTGTATAAAAACTCATTTACATCCTTGACTAATACAACATAAAGAAAGACATCGATGACAGTTGAATAAAGTAGAAAGAAAGTCTTGTATAAAAACTCATTTAAATCCTTGACTAATACAACATAAAGAAAGACATCGATGACAGTTGAATAAAGTAGAAAGAAAGTCTTGTATAAAAACTCATTTACATCCTTGACTAATACAACATAAAGAAAGACATCGATGACAGTTGAATAAAGTAGAAAGAAAGTCTTGTATAAAAACTCATTTAAATCCTTGACTAATACAACATAAAGAAAGACATCGATGACAGTTGAATAAAGTAGAAACTCCTGTAATATGTAGAGCATTATTCACTGGTATTCTCCGCTTAACTGTTCCTCACTTTAAACAAAAGTCACCCGCGCAAGTCATCAGTCACCTGACGCAAGTCATCAGTCACCTGACGCAAGTCATCAGTCATCTGACGCAAGTCATCAGTCATCTGACGCAAGTCATCAGTCATCTGACGCAAGTCATCAGTCACCTGACGCAAGTCATCAGTCACCTGACGCAAGTCATCAGTCATCTGACGACTCGATGTTCATCGTCGA